TATGTGTTAACGTGTATGTTTTCACTTATTCCCATATGTAAGTAAATATCTAGTTCATTTTAAAAGAAAACACTGTCAGCGTAGTGTGCCAGTGGAAGAGAAATACTTAGTTTTAACGCCTAATTTTCACCCAAATCCAGGAGGATTTTGCGCCGTAGGTATAGAATACATTAGTTAACCATTCACTTAGAGCCTGCACAGGAAGGCTTCCTTATTCATTGACATCATTATGAAATAAAAATTAACATATTCATCCAGAGCACGTTGCGGTCACACAATGGCCCTCTGGCATCAAAAACAGCGGAAACAAATTTGAAAACTGGTGAATACTTGAAAGCTTTGGTGAAATTAATGAGAGCTAACTACCATACCATACTGCAGAACTATAGGTTACTATAGATTTCTTTAGGCAAGTGAATTATTAATTCACTATCAACAAATGTGATTTCTATGTCATACACATACGTGAATTCCGCAAGTTTGCTAATTAGTTAAAAGGAAATCCATAACGTGATGAAATACTCCACCCGGGGGTATAACTTTTTTATTCAAACACAATCCTAATCAATATTTAATAAAAAAAGTTTATAAAATAAAAAAATAAATAAATAAAATAATAAATATGTAAAAATGAGTTAAAATTAATTAAATTAAATTAGATATATTTTATCTATGCATTAGAAGAGTTGTAGCAAAATAAATAAAACTTGAAGGGTTCAAATAGTAATGAAGATGCAAACAACAAAAATTTTTAATTAATTACTTGAAATTGATTGACCATACAACGCTGTTTCGAGTACTCATCAAGTACTCATCATCAGTGATCTTAGGAAATATTCAAATTTTTCTTTTGATTATTTTATAGTACGTAAATAATTTGTTTAGACTGTAAGTGCCGGGCTTAGAACTCGTGCCTCCCTATTTAGAAACGAGTTTTTCCACAAGTACTCAAGGCTGTACAAACTTTCAAAGCTCAAGTTTCAATATTTTTTGTCACTTGCCAAATGCCAAAGCACTTGGCATGCTTTTTAAATTAGAACGAGCTTATAAACTACAGCTCTATTTGGAAACACAAGTTCAACGAATTGAAACTTATTTTTGTAGTTGTTTATTTTAATTTTTAATAAAATTTAATTTCAAATCTATTCTTTTGTAGTCATCTGTTATGAATATTTTTATTTACTGTATGTAGAGTACCTTTTTTGGGTGCAATTTTAGAGAGAAGCTACTCAAATGTTATTCTTCACGTTCGTTAAAGCGAGTAGGAAAAGCTGAACAATACTGTTGTTTTTTTCCTATAATTCTAAATTCTTGGGGACGTGTCTTAGGTGTTAATTTTTTTGTCGAATGTGAAGCGCATTATGACAAAAAGAAACTAGAAGGGTTCGAACTGTAATGAAGAAACAACAACAAAAATTTTTATTTAAATTTGCCTTTGATTTTAGACGCTAGGGTCTCTCATCATGACATACAGTTTCTATTAAATGACTATCCGTACTCCTGTTGTTATTTTCACATCACCGATTAGCATAAATCCGTCCGCTATCTCCTAATTTTGGGCAATTTGTTTCAAGGGGCACATTTTATTTATGTATTTATATATTTTATTTTATGAATTTATGCTACAACTGAAAAATAAGTTTATGTTTACAGTAGGTATCCAAGTCCATTTATTATTATTGGAATGAAGTTTATAGTAAACGTTATCTCCAATGCTGAACTGCTTTAATTTTGTCTCTTGCTGATTACTCTGTTTTTCTAATTCGCCTTTCGGTTTTTGCTGTTTAATGCAGTCAAGACGAATTTTCATTTTTCTGCCATTTAGGAGCTCAGATGGTGATTTCATACCGAGATTGTAGGATGGTGTGTATCGATAACAAGTGAGGAATTTGTTGAGCTTCCTGTCGATACTTCCCTTTGCCTTTTTAAGTCATGATTTGAGTAGGTCAACGAACCGTTCTGCTTGGCCATTTGATTGTGGACTGTATGGAGCTGTAGATATGTATTTAATTCCTTGGAAGTCGCAAAAATTTTTGAATTTCTGCGAGATGAATTGCGGAGCATTATCACTAACAATCGTGTCACAAAGGCCGTGTTGCGCAAAAGCTTTCTCAATGAACTCAATAGTTTTAGCTGCAGTAGTAGTTGAAGTTTTGAATATTTCTGGCCATTTGCTAAAAGCGTCTATGATAACAAGGATGTAATTGCCATCGATTGGACCAGCGTAGTCAATATGAATTCGTTTCCATGGTGCAGAAGGAATTTTTCACTGTTGAGGAGTACATTTCATTGGACTTTTTGAGGCTGTAGCGCATGTGTCACAAGTTTTGACCACATGATCGATATCAAGATTAATGTTTGGCCAAAACACTTTGGTAGCAGCAAGAAGTTTCATACGACACTCACCTGGATGTCCATTATGGAGATTTTCAAGGACTTGCTGGTGGTAAATTTTGGGAATAACTATTCTCTCACCAAAGAAAATACTCTGTTGTTGGATCGTAAGATGGTGTCGATGCTGAAAAAATGCCGCTACTTCATTATCTGTGATTTGTTTTTTCTTTTGAGGCCAGCAGTCATTTTGGATGTAGAACGTGACCTTATTGAGAGTATGGCAGGCTTTGGTTGCTGTTTGAATATTAGTGAAAGTGATTGGAAGTTTGGTGGCTGTTTCTACCGCAAAACAATTGATTTTCAGGTTCTCGTCTTCTTCTAATTGAATAGATGCTATGACGGTATCTTCATCAGATTTTACATGGTTTGCGATTAGTCGAGAAATAATATCGGCATATTCAAAGCTGTCAGTATTTATGTATTCAATAGAGAAGTCGTATGACAGAGTAATGGTTGCATAACATTGCAGGCGAGCCGCTGTAAACAAAGGGATGCCATTTTTTGGGTTGAATAGAGCAAGAAGTGGCTTGTGGTCGATATGAATAATAAAGCGACGACCCGAAATATAATAGTGACATTTTTTTAATCCAAACACGAGAGTTCGAGCCTCCTTGTGCATTTGAGGATACTTCCGCTCTGCTGCATTGAATGTAGCTGAGTAGTGCATAATTGGGGGAAGCGTTCCGTCATTAAATTGATGCATGAGAACTGCACCCATACCGTATTCTGAAGCATCAGTAGCTAAAATTATTTTCTTTGCTGGATCGAAGTGCGTAAGACATAGATCAGAAGCTAATACATTTTTAATCTTGTTGAATGCTTCATTATGATGTGGTTTCTACTCGAACTTCTTATCTTTTTTTAAAAGTTCATCTAAAGGACCACGAAGGCTTTTCATACTTTTAATGAATTTCCCATAATAATTTACAGCTCCTAAAAATGCTCGTGTTTGTTGCAAGTTTGTTGGTGGTGGGAGATCTTGGATTGATCGAAGTTTCCCTGGATGTGGTCTGATACCATATTGATCTACCGTGTGTCCGCAGAACTCGACAGATGTTTCTCCAAACTTACATTTCTCGAAGCGAAGTTTGAATCCATAATCCTGAATACGCTTTAAGGTTTTCAACAGTTGAATTTTGTGGTCTTCTTCATTAATTCCCGAACAGATCATATCATCAATAAACCCAATGGTGTTGGTTCCGCTAAGCATTGTGTCAACAATCTGTTGAAAAATGCCAGGGGCTGTTTTAACACCTTGCTGCAGTCTAAGTACTTTAAATAAGCCGAGGTGAGTATTGATAGCCATCAGTTTTTGAGATTCTTGGTCCAATGGAATCTGGAAAAATGCATCTGATAGGTCAATTGTGCTAAAGACTTTCTTATTAGCGAGTTTGGAGAATATTTGATCAGGCGTTGGAAGAGGATATTTATTTGGCTCTAGACCGTCATTTAGACCTGTAGAATAATCGGCACATATACGAATTTTTCCATTCTTCTTTCTTACAACTATGATTGGCACCGCTGACTGTGAGTATTCAATTGGTGAAATTACTCCAAGATGTTGAAGACGTTCAAGTTCTGCCGAAACTATGGAAGCTGCTGCATATGGAACTGGTCGAGCGTTACGATAAACGGGTCGCGCTCCTTCTTTTAGTCTCAGAGTCGCTTGGGTCTTCGTACAGCAACCAAGGTCATTATAAAAGAGAGACGGAAATCCAGCCTTTATTTCATCGTTCAATTTATCGCTACAAGTTAGTTGGATTGCTTTGCAAAAGGAACTCATAGGCACTGATCATAAGTCAAATGTTGTTATCCAATCAATTCCAAACACGTTCAACTTAAGTGGTGTGACATAACACACATCATATTCCTCTCTTCCATTTAGGTTCACAACACAAGCAAAGCTGCCCAGAAGAGGAATTACTTTTCCAGAAGCATCGCCAGCTTTTTTATTAGTAGTTTGTAGGGTTGGCTGACCAAGTTTGGTCCAGTTCGATTTGGAAATAATTGTTATGTCCGACCCGGTATCAAGTTGGAGTTTAATTGTTGATCCATTGAGATTTGGTTTGACATACCTACGATGCTGCTGCGTTCTGTTAGTTTCATCAATTTTCTTCACACATGATGTGTCAGGCTGAGATTTTCTGCGTCGCAACTTGCTTGGCTTCATATTGCAGTAACCATTTTTGTGGCCAATAGTGTTACATGCTGAACATATTTCGCCTTTAAATGGACAATCTTTAACCCAATGAAGACCTCCACAACACCAACATGGCGTTGGTGGTTTCGAAGATTCGTCTTTTGTTGAAGAATTTGATAGTAATGATTCATTTTTGCGTTGATATCGATGGTGAATTGCAAAAACTTCTGAACTTGAAGATGGGTGGACGACAGTGTATTTGTCTTGCTTCAGACAGATTATACGTTCATCTTCATTAGTGAGGTCTTGAAGTGTTAAGTGCATGAAGGCATCCTTTTGCGCCTGTGTCTGAAGTGCACCAAACTGTGTTGATTCATTGTCGAGTCTTGCAAGGAGTTTCTCGAGTATTAACGAATCGTGTGAACTCTTCAAGCCATTGACAAAGATTTGTGCTTTAAACTCATCGGGAGTACAATTAACGATGTCAAATTTTTCACAATGTTTGTTGACGCGAGCTGCATACTGAGCAAAGTCTTCATAATCCTGTTTTGAAATTGTAAGACATTTTTGGCGCTGAGAAAATTTTGATTGGCGATATCTGAATATAGACGAGAGTTTGGCAACCGTTTGCATGAATGTAAGCTCATGGGGTTCCTTTGGTAAGATTGCTCGAAATCCAAATTTTTTAATTTGCTTGTGAGCAATCGAACCTTAGTCGGCTCAGTGAGATGTGCTGCTTCTATAGCGAAAACTGATTTATGACGCTTGTACCATGATTCAAATGTGACATAACTTTCAGGATCATAGCATAACTCCAGCATTGAGTCAGATAGATTCCTGAATGTTGATGAAACTGCTTCTGTAGTTGAAGAAGGCGCATCAATTTGTTGTTGTGTCCGCGACAAACGAAGCTCCTCAAGCAAAGCGTTATTTGATTTTTGCACAGCTTGCAACAACAAATTAAACTGTTCCGCATTCATGTTAGCTTTATCCTCGTCGCCAATGTAGTAACTTCGCTAGTTACACATAAATAAATACACTAATTGTTAATCTTACACCAAACGCTTATCTTGCCGCCCTTTTTCTGCCAGCTGGTCTTCTCTTGTCCCATGTTGTACAACGTACGTTTACTGCCAGTGTTGTACTACGTCCGTTTACTACAGTATTAAAACTTGAAAAAAGTTCACTTTGAATTGTTGGTCAATTGGACATTAGATGATTTAAGAAATATCCAAACGTATTCATTTTTTTATCTGGTTTAAGTACAGCATGATGAGGAATAAAATAACCTATAAACCGATATGAAATTTAAGTTTGACTTAGTCATATATTGCAATTCTTCATATGAATAGGTCTGTTCATATTAAGCTTCCATCGATAATAGATTATTTCTTGTGATTCTTGTAAAACTGAACAGTTCTGGAGAAATGATAACCTTACAACGAAACGTCCTTGCTTATTTGTGTGGGTATTCTGCTCGAAGTGAGAATTGAGCGTATACATATGCTGATTAGGAAACCGAATTCTCAAATGTTTTTTTAATACGTGCCATTACATCCTGATTCGTTCCATTGGTGTTTAGAAAATTGCTTTCGTTAATACATGAGTGTATTACCTTGATTTCATTATTTTGTATTCTAGTGGTTAGGTTTATGGCTAGATTAGATTAAATTATGCTGGCTGACCAAAAAGGTCACGCGTAGACCATTAAGGTCCATTGCAATACTAGATCAGAGTTTTATTTTAGCCATTG